CACAAAGCTTCCTTTACCCTTCATCCCTAGTTGGAGGAGACATTATGCAGGGCCATGATGGGCCAAGAGTGTGGTTTGTGTGGGCCTCCACGTTTAATGTATTTTAGGCCAACCTCCATAAGGTTGTCTTGGAATAATTGTGGATCCACTTGGTTAACCAGTGGGGTGAGTTTGTGTTTGCTATCAGGATGTTGTCGTGTAAGTCTGTTGGAGATTTCAGTATGGTTCTAGCTACTGTTCAAGCAAGCCTGGGTGTGATGATAAACTACCTGTGCTGATAAGAGTTCATTTTCTTTGTTTATTTTTGAAGGCTTATTGTGCTGCAGTTAATATATCAGTCTTTACATCTTCAATACTCTAGATGTTGCAACAACCTGAAGTAGGTAAAGTACTGATGGAGGCATTAAATCAGAATAAGGATGAGGAGTTTGCATGGTGATAGTGATAGTAGGTACCATGATAATGGAGGTATTAACTTAAATAGGAAAGAAGAATTGGATGGTAGCAGTGAAAATAGGTAATATGCTGACAGGCAGAATCAAAGAAACAAAATAGTTTGAATTATGAAATATAACATTTTCAATTTTGGGATTTTAAGGAGTTTGGTGAAAAAAATATCCTTTACTTGAGCATTTCAAGGACCTTGACTGATTACAAGTATACAGAGGGTTGAATACAATATATATATGTTATGTCTTATAAACCCATGGACCTATGGCCCACATTTACAGGGCTGCTATAATGCAAATTTAATGCTTGAACTATTAAGGGGTTTGATGAAAAGTTTTACCTTTGTGCAAACCTTTGGGCCAAGAAGATTCTTTTGGCACCATACAGCAAACCTGTGGGCCATAGGCCCACATTTCTAGGGCTACAATAATGCAAATTTAATGCTTGACCTACTATATTTACTGCTGTAATGTAAATCAATGCCAAATTTGGGGTCCACTTTCGGGGGAATCCCTGTAAAAATGTTTTTCCAAAATACCCAAGTTCACTAAGGAGTTGGGTGAAAAGTTTTACCTTTTTTGCAAAGCTTGGAGATGAGACAGTTTATTTAGCACCATTTAGAAGTTTGTGAGCCCAGCA